TATTTTAAATAAACTATGGATCAAGATTTGACTGAATAGTGTTGCAAATAAAAGTAAAAGGTTGACGTTAGATGTCGTTTATTTTTGTATATGTCACAGGAGTCTGGTTCGAGCTCATGTAGGGAAATAATCAAAGATAGATAAATGAATTTGAAGATGTGTACTTAATCTCTTTGTCCAACCCTCTTCGTATAGTCATTGCTCTTCTAAAATATGATTACTAATCATTCAGTGTGAAATTGTCCCTTATTGTGTAGTATGTATGTATATAAATACGCCATGACTTGTACAAATATAAACTGTCTGATATGATAATCTTATGTGGTTGTAGTGGCTAGTAGTGGAATCTGAGACTCGTGTTTCGTTATATTTGGGACTCGTCAGTTGGGTGTACCTGCCTCCCAGTGAGCGATGTTGTTCTCACTAAGACCGATCGGGACCGATCGTTTCAAACGCCAGAGCGTTATCCACTAAACCATTGGGTCATGAAAGCCATTTCTTGTGTTACTGAGTCATTGAGCGAACCGAAATGATCCATCCAGTGGATAACATTCTGGCGTTTTAAGTTGTCGGTTCCGAGTTCGAGTCCTGGTGGGAACAATATCCAATCGCTGAGGCAGGTACATCCAGTTGATGAGTCCCAAGTAGAAAGAAACGCGCAACCTGGATGCCACATCTAACCACTATCTATCTATATAATTGAAACAGGCAATATCCAGGCATCCACGTAGGAGCCCATATGCCAACAGAGACCGGTCGAATCAGTTCACTCAACGACGCAATAGTGCATGCAACAACATTTTATCTGATATGCCACAATAGTTTCACCAGTAAACAACCAACTATAGTCTGCAAAACAACTGGTAAGCATATACAAAGCCAATGTGTTGCCAAACCCAGTAATATGTCCATCTAAATCTGATGGATTAGGTATACCAATGAAAAGTTTGTGTGTTATGCAATGGATTAGCGCAAAATAAGTAAATTTCTAGTGAAAAGATTTCATATACAATGGTAAGTTTATATTTTGGTAATATTTCGATCAAAATTACTGCCCATGACCACACGAACGGTCGAAATTTTTCAGTAATATTTATTTTTTTACGGATTGCTTCACAATTGACGAAAATAGTATAATCCCTACATTCGTTTATTTTGTATAGAGATTATTTACAGCTTATAACTTAAAAATATATATATATATAAATGATGCAAAAAATGTCTACACAATCTTCTCTTCAAAATATCCAGGCATATCATATTTTATCATTTGACTATCTGAGATAGCCGTGGTTTGACAGACTAGTATTTTATACTGAGGGATGATTGAAGGTGAGATGAGAATTTGGACTGCGGCCGGATTCGAACCAGCCAACACCGGGTTTCCGGCCCGTTATTCTACCAACTGAGCTTCGACGTCCGACTGCTGACCAGAGTTTTATTTCGCTTCAACCATCAAGGGTTTTCGCCCCACTACCATGTGAATTCGTGATGCGTTACTATCACCTGATCGTATTCACACTGGTTGCCTAATCAGGACTTCTCATCCCAATCCCAATCTAGCTGAATCTAATCGAATCCTTCTGCGGTCCAAATTTAATCACCCAGTATCGACTTTATTGACTAAACGCATATCTCTGTACTATTTTTGTTGAATAATCATGAAGAAGACAAAGTTTTGAAAAAATGCAACTCAATAACACATAATCTTTTATGATGTTTAAACTACAACAGTTTGAAATGTATTCAAAATTCCTAAAGTAGCAGCTAAAAATCAACTGGCTAAATGAATTTCGCTATAAAAATGCATATTCCTGACAGAGTTTAAGAAAATAATGTCAAAGTTCAGATTTATTTTCACCCACTAATCGTTTTACTGTGTGGTGTCAGCTTATTAGCTCCACAGAAAATTTCAGATGAAATTATGTGGTGGATAGAAAACGAAGTCAAGGATGATTAAACTTTCCAACAAACACTATCAGACAAAACATATTCCGTAATCTACCACCTGAGCTTCAAGATCCTTCGATCCATTTTTTTCAGCTAAAATGAGTATACCTCTATCAAAGATAGACTGGAGCTCAATCAGTGTCTCGATTCATGCAATTCTAGCCACTGGAAATCACGAACATCAGATGTGGAATACTAGTGAGGGGGAAAAACAAATGAACAGTCAACTACACATATTTTAAAGCCGTTTTCGTACAAAAATATCATCAGTAGGCTAAAACGTTAGGCATCTCTTAACCAAAATAGTTGTAAATGAGGTAGAAAAACACATTCATTATAATCACAAACAATTATGAACCGATAACCAAACATACTACGAAGGTAAACTGAGAAATATCACATTGAAATTTCTCAGTTAGACATTCAAAATGAAAGACAAATTAAACGAAGAAGTATTTCTTTTCTATAAGGTCTTTGTCATCAGCTCTACATCATCACCAAGTTTAACATTGAACCAGGCATTACTGCACAACGGTTCAAGATGTCGCACATCATACCAGCACATCAAGTAACAAAGTAATGAAGTGAAAGATGAAGAAGGAAAAAATCGACCAAAAGGAATAGAAAAGAGTAAAAGAGACGGGGAAAGAATGAGAAAATGATGTGATTAAGTAAAACGGTTAAGATGAGGATAATTTGTGTAAACATCTGTCCACTGACATCGGTTCACCTAAGGTCTCCAACCAGTGGTTTATCTTCTCTGCAGACCCCAACACGTTAGTCTCCATCACCCTACATGGCTCAAACGAACAGATAAGGACTTCACATTAATACATAGGTTTCAGATTTAATGACAATATACCACTTAGTGATGGCGGTGAGTTAATTAACGAAAAATAATAATAAAGTTCCAGATGATATCATGGAATGACATCAGTTTGAAAATAAATGGAAAAAAACATGAAACCAATGGAAAGCTGTTTTACATCAGGGTGTGTACTCCTAAGAACCTCCATAGAACCATGCAATAGTTGTCAAGTGATCTTAAGTTTCCGATGACTTAAATTTATGTTAGTCCACGACGAATATCACGTTGAAATAAAAAATATCCCAACAAACCGAACTAAGCAATACATTTAAAGTTACTTATGAGGTTATTAATCGAAGAAATAAGACAGAAATGAATGAGTCTAGTAACTATATAACTGCAGGTTGTTAATTCATTGATTACGTAATAATACACGTCTCCTTCAGTATCTGCCTCCTTATATTTCCACCTACCTATTATTTCGCAGTTATTTAATATCGGTGTAAAACTTGGGCACTGTGGTAGAATTTAATCGCATAATATTAGATTTATTGATTTGATGTAAAAAACACAGTGACACAGTATTATTTACTGGATGAGGTTCCGAGCATAAATTATCATTGCTCATAATCATATCGATGTAATCACATAGCACTTTCGACATTTGATTTTTATAGTTCTGTCACCTCGTATGATTTGTTTTTATTGGTGGTAAAATTTTCCATATTACTGGTATGGGTAATGCATCACTCCTATTACGTGTGTTGAGTGTTAATTCGATGAACAAAGACTCAGTAATCAATCTCTCTCTCCGCCTAATTATATTGGACTTAAGTACAGTGGGTTTATCCCACATACCTTATTGTGTGCTTGTGTGTTAATGCATGAATTGCGATAGCCAAGTCACTTTCTAGATTACTGATCTTATTCTGGTCTGTCATTCTTTACTTAGCTAAATTCCCATGTTCGGCTATTCTGACTGACCCCGACCGGCTAGTTTGACCTATGTACTTGACCTCGTAGTCATTACATAGAATATGACAGATTAGGTAATTTTACTTAACTGGTTCTATGAGGGTCACCTCCCACCAGCGTTAATCACTGTTTCACCCTCCGTTTGTTTCTGAAGCCATTTAAGTACATGTTCTCCCACCTTCAACTCTATGACTCGATTACTCCTCCGTATGTAGGTGTGACCACATACATGTAAATTGATAAACACAGTGGGATGTGACGTAATCGTCGATGCAGTGTTTAGGTTTTTGGTGGAGTACGTATTTTGTTTTCTACACAATAATAAGATTCGCTGCGCAATATGTTTTCTCAATGGCTGATGTCAGCCTACGTCTCAAAACGATACTATTCAGCTCCCCTCCGTATGGTAGAGTGATATGGATGCTGTATACACTGTACCTAAGAAACACACGTAATACATATGTAATAGAAATGGCACAACACCTATATATATACTATAATGCAAATATGAATGTATATGAGGATAGCACCTCAGTCGAGGTGACAGATTGTTCAACATAATCATCCCTTTTTCAACTAACTGGGAATTGAAGTAGCTGAATATGAAGAGTATGTCGTTAGTTATTCAGTAGTTGATATTGCTTGGAAAAAATTGCATTGTTTATAATCTTCTTTATCCAAAAATAACCGCTACATGCCTACAAAACAAACCATTTAAAATGTTACTTTCTAGCTGTCTTCTCTGCAAGGGAATTGAAAATACATTTTTCTATACTTAAGTTTCACTAACAGTCATCTTTTTCGCTCAAGTTTTTGTAATAGACTTTAAAAATGTCTGGTATTGCCTAATAATGATGCCTTTGCTTTCTTTTGATCCACTATTGCTCATGGTCATTGAATATACTCTTTGTCAGTTTGCATCAAGTATGTGAATCCTAGAACCCTCAAAATCTCCAATTCATCATGAGAGTAGGTTGTCAATTCAAACACTAAATTTACTTTAAGAAAACACTAAAAATTAACCTCAAATGAAAACATGTGCAACCAGTATAAATCCTTGCTTTACTGCATAAAAAAGCCAGTTATGACAAAAAAGTTAAGTTGAAAAAAAATGATAGCGTAATAACTTACCTCGTTCTGTCGTTTCACATCCTTGTGATTCATAAATCGTACAGGTGATTTTTCAGATTTTTTGTTTAAATCACATTTGAGGATTTAGAAGACATTTTATAATTCGAAGCTAGCGGAGAGAAGTCAGTTAACTCACCACTTTCATGAACAGGTGGCAAAAGAGCTTTCTGTGGAAAAAGAAGGGAGAAAAGCATTAAATTAACAGTAAACTAAATCAGTCATTTTTATGTCCAAAATATTTATACACCATCAATTGGAGTTTGACGAGAAATTTAGCCAGAAAGTACTAACTCACAGAAAATGAAACACTCGCAGATCTCCAAAACTCATCTCGTTAGCTAGTGCACTAGTTACTAGCCTGTCTTAAGCACGGATAAAGAGGCAAGGTCGGGCATACGGCTAGCAACCCTACCCCACAAAACCAATCCAATCCTCATACAAACTTCAAAGAACAAAGAAAATATTAAAAATAAAAACAAACTTATTCCTCACTGGAACCAGAGAGGCGAAATGACGCCAGTTGGTGAAAACCATCAGGAAGCCAAATCGCCGATGTCTCTTCTCTCGATGAAACCAAAAGTAAGAATGGGAACAATGTTTCATCCTAGAAAGGCTGCACAGATTGCAAAAGAGATGAGAAGATATCGCATTCAAGTGTGAAAATCTGAAAAACCAGATTCTATGGAAGTGGACTCTCCAAACTGTCAACTCCAGAGTCAATAATCTACTCCCATATTGTCACTCAGACCATAACCACCACCACAATGAGTTTTCCAGTGGCTATCATGATATCCCAAACAGCATCAAAGGCTCTCTCTCTCTCTCTCTCTTATACAGTGGAAACCAATCTCATCCTCCAGCATCATGACACCAACATTCAACTCAAAAGGAAGGAAAGTCACAATCGTACAATGCAAATCCTACGCACCTACAAATAATCCTCATCAAGAGAAGAAGGAGGAATTCTATAGACAACTGAAATCACTACTGGACAAGACACCAGCCAAGATGGAGACATCAAAATTCTAATGGGTGGGCTGACATGAATGCCAAACTGGGAGCACACAACACACGAAGAGTACTCATCATCGGTCGAGAAGCACTCGGTGAAATGAACCACAATACAGAACTGTTTGCAGATTTCTGCACATTCAACGGTTTGGTCATTGCAGGTAGTGTGTACAAACACAAGGACATTCACAAGGCAGCGACATGAATTTGATTTCACCAGACACCAGATGGACACACTAAAAATCAAATCCACTTCATCTCAATGCGAAGAAAGTGGAGATGCAGCCTACTGGACACAACATCAAGACTGGGAGCACATCAAGGTTCACACCACTCACTATTTAGTACACGAAACATACATTCAAAATCAAGTGGAAAGCCTTCAAAGAAGCTGGTGATGATACACCACAGTTCATGTTCAACACCCAAACAGAAACTGAAGCACGAAACTTCAAAAAACATCTTCACGTCAGTCAGTCAGTCATCAGGAAAAAATGGGACACATTAAGCAACATTCCTGAAGAAACCTGGGTGCAAGAACACTACAACTCAGTGAAACAACACACGCAAAGAAACCCACATAACCGTATTAGGAAGGAAGAAGAAGAAACAAGACAAAGAATGGATTTCAACGGACACATCGAAGCTGATACAGGAGGCAGAGGAAGATGGTGAAGCAGAAGATGAGTCAGTGCAGTGCAAGGATGAACAACGTAAAGAGGAACTGAATACAACCTACAAAACACTGCAATGGACAAAGAAGTGAAGAAGAGTCCGCACAAAGACAAAACACACTTCTATGATACACTGGCAAGTGAAACATAACAGGCTACAGGTAAGAGAGACCTGACAACATTATATCAAATAACCAGGTTACTATCTAGGAGGGAAGAGATCAACACAGATGAAACCAATGAAAGACAGTGAAGGAAACTTAGTTACCACGAAAAGGAGCAACAAGGAAACAATGGGCTGACCACTTCAGAAAACTCTTGAATCAACCACCACACCATACCATCGGCAACTTGTCCAGAAATACAAACTACCACCAGCCGCAGAATTACCAGTGAACACAACCCCTCTGATAAAAGCCAAGGTCCTGAACACCATAAACTTACTGAATTCAGTAAACCAGCAGCACCAGATGGAATTCCACCAGAAGCACTGATACATACACAGAGACAAAAGCTGACATGCTCACACCACTTCCATTGAAGAAGGTTTGGAAGGAAGAAAAGGTACCTGCTCATTGATTGGAAATAGGGCTACCATGTCAAACTCCCAAACAAGGGACACCGAAGTCTTTGCAAGAACTGGTGGAGAATCATGCTCCTGTCCACCCAAAGCAAGCAAAGTATTATGCCGCATCATCCTCGAGGGACTAAACAATGCTCTCGATTCAAAATTACGACTGGAACAGGCTGGCTGGCTGGCTTCAGAAGAATAAATCATGTGTGCATCTAATTGCAACACTGCACAACGATAGGCATCATCACAGAACAGAGTATAGAATGGCAGTCAACTGGATCTCTATCTCAACTTCATCCACTTGAAAAGGCATTCAACAGCATCGAACAAAAAGTAATTTGGCAGAGAGCTGCTTCAACACCACGGAATACCACAAACTTTTATCAATCTCATTCAACAACTATATGGAGACACTACATGCCAAGTGATTCTCAGTGGAAAGCTCAGTAACGCTTTTGCAATGAAGACAGGAGTAAGACAAGGCTGCCTACTATCACTGATCATCTTCCTCATTGTGGTGGACTGGACTGGATCATGCGGTAAGCGATGAGGAGCGAGAAGATGGGCATACGCTAGCTGCACCGATGATAAGACACTACAAGATTTGGAGTTCACTCATGATGATTTATGTCTAATGTCTTCTGGCATAAACTAGAAGATCTACAGGTGAAAACTAACAAGTTGACTGAAGAAGCAACGATGACGGGTCTTCCTTCAGGTGGACATAGAGAAGACAGAGGAGATGAAGATACCCAACCAACAGCAGCATCAACGACAAGCATCAATCACCACCAAAGAAAGAAGGAAGTAGTCTCTTTCACCTACCCAGGCAAGGCAGCATGGTTTGAACTACAGGCGGCAAAAATGAGGATGTGAAAACCAGGATCATAAAAGCAAGACAGGCTTTCATTAGTCTGAAATCAATGTGGAGATCTACTGCACTCAGTACAAAGAACAAGATCCGGATTTTCAACACTAATGTCAAGTCAGTGCTGTTATATGGTCCAGAAACTTGGCGCGTTACGAAAAGCATTTCCAACAAACTACAGACCTACGTCAACGGATGCCGCCTACGTTCGCTTGATAATGAAGATCAGATGTGTGGCCAGAAAGAATAAGTACCAAGGAACTCTGTCCTGGGAACAAACCAACCAAGAACCCATTGCCCAACAAATATTCAGAAGAAAGTGGAGATGGATTGGGCATGCACTGAGAAGGCCGATTGGTGACATCATGTGTCAGACCCTCGAGTGGAATCCAAGGAGGAAACGATGAGCTGGGCATCCGAGTGTGACATGGAGGAGATCATGTGAGGAGGAAATGAAAGCTTATGGGCAGTCGTGGCACCGGGTTTTGAAGATTGCAGAGAACAGAGTGGAATGGAGACGTGTTACTGAAGCCCTATGTTCCATTAGGAACCCAAGGGAAAATAATAATAATAATAATAATAATAATAATAATAATAATAATAGATAGATCTCTAAAAAAGTGAGTAAAGCATTTAAGAACAAAATTTATGTACTACGCCCCTCATCAACTGTACTAATTCCTGACCTGAAAGAATGACGCCAACGGCTTTAAGCGAAGGAAATACAAATGTAAACCTTTATCCAGCTGTTTTACGGGTACTATGACGTTTTGATGCTCACTTGTATGCAACTATTCAAAGTATTCACTGTTAGAACCAACATACATCTTGTTATAATTTTCGTCAGTTCATATTACCAAACTTCTTATCAATGAAATGAAACGAAATCAATAGAAGGGAAGAGAATAAAACTGGAATGTAGTCTAGACAAAATAATAGATAATATATAGTAATAAGATTTGAAAGGTTAGTTAAGGATTCGATTGCATCACTTCAGCTGATTTTTTGTCACATCACAGACAGCTAAAATTGGTAGTCAAAGTGATCGCTGTACGACTTTTTCGATGCCATTCCTAGTAAAGTAAACAGAAACATTTGGGGTAGACTATGACTAAACCTGAATGACAGATGCTCCAACAATCCAGGTAGTTAAAAGTTTATAATATCATCTTTTTGTTCAGTAACATACATTTACTGTGGCCTTGTTTCCAGCATATATGAACAGTATTGCAAAAACGGTAGTGATCAACCTATGTATAGCCTTTAAAACCCATACATAAGCACAACAATGTTAAAACTAAATTATTCACCAAGAGAACATTTTACCTCAACAGAACATCTAGTCATTGTTTTATAGTATATTAATTATAACTTAGGTTATGAAAATAGTGAACCCATAAGTGCATGAAGGTTGCGCACAAAAATGCCCTTAGTACTACTACTACACGTATTGAAAGAAACGACAGAACTAAAATAAGAGATGAGACAGAAGATAGCTCAAAATTACTGCCATCTTTATTACTATTACTTTCAAGATCTCACTCATTGAATAGAATAAGCAACAGAAATACACACAGCGATTCTAGAAACTTCAATTACAACCACGGAACACCATTAAATACACTATCTGATTTTAAAAATAAGAGCCTACCACTATGTAGACAATGAGGTAGATTTTAACGACAATAAAGAAACCTATTAAACATGTGATAACTATGTATTGCGCATTCCAAGCCGCTACCTACCTCGACACGCAATGTCAGGTCAAGTGATATTAGGTTGAAAGAAGGCTCGTGGTGCCCAGACTAACACGTGACATCAGTCTATGAAGCTTATAATTTTTGGTCTAATACGTGTTGGGTGTAAGAAGCCTAGCTGGGGTTCTGGAGAGGATGAAAGAGAATGGTTGGAGACCCTTCGTGAAATAGCTGAAAATAAATCACAATGTCACGGATGTATTCACTCTTAGAAGTCGTCTAAGGCTTGATTTTGGAATTTCTTTTCCTATTATACACTTTTGTCTTTTTCCATTCATTTGTT